CCTCTCCCCAGTCCTTCTTAACTCTGCTCTATTTTTCTCTTTTTTTCCTCCATAATGGAAATCACATACTAACAATATCATTTCTTGTTTGTCTTTTTTTTTTTTTTTTAATTTTATGTTTGTGGTGACTGTTTCTCTCACTAGAATGTAATGCCACCAGGACCACGGTCTTTGTTTTGCTCACTGGTTGCTGTCCCATGAGCCTCACGTGTAACAGGGGCCATGACATTGTTGGGCTGGAGGAAGAAAGGAATGATCAGGCGCACGCAAGGCAGCACAGTCTGTCTATGTCACAGCTGCTGTCTCAGCTTCTCGGATACCTCTGACCTCCCAGGGTTGCAAAGAACAAGGACAAGGCTTACGTAGAAGGTGTTAGTCATCCAGAATGCCACTATATATTTGGAAGCAGAGTGTTCACCTTGAAGCAGTAATGTGCTGTGAATTGGAACTGCTTTCCTGTCATATTTTTTCATTTGTAATGAGTGTTTTGATACACATTCTTGCGATTGTAAAGAAACGGCGCTCACACCCTGTACATCTTACCATGAGCTACAAGGCTGTCAGGAGACTAGAATAAGAAAATAAATATGAAGGTCATTTAAAAGTTAAAAGCCCATCCATGTGATGTGAGTAGTGCTGCTAATGGTTAGGCACCTAGAGGTCAGAGTCCAGAACTAAGGATGTTTACCCATGAGTTTTGTATAGTTTTTTGTGGAAGGGTGAACATATCCATCCAGCTTGCTTGCAGAAGGCATGAGTGAGCCCGTTTGAGGAGGGCCCAAGGCTAAAAAGTCATCCGTATTCTGGTTCAGTGGGGTCTTTCACATGACCTCTGTTTTATAACCCTGCTTCTGTTGGAGGTCATGTGCTAGATAGCGTCAGGGCAGGAACGTCTGTTTGATTGAAAATAGGCCAAGAGATATAACAAACCATATTTTTTTTGCCGGGTTATATTGTCCATTAACAAAATAAAACAACAAAAACCCTTTCTAGTGCCCCAACATGTGGATGAATTAGCCCTTTGTTGCTCTAAAAATTAGCTTTATGTGATTTTTACAGCTCACCTATGTCCTAAATTCCAACTTTTTGTGTGTTTGGGGATATGAAGGAGTATGTTAAATGATAGTGTTTCCCCTCTACGCAATAAAATAGGGTAGTTTTTTTTTTTTTTCTTTTCTTCCCACATGTTAAATGAGAACACATGGAACATTCCTGGCACAGTAGATGCTAATGAAAAGAGGCTATTATTATTTGGTCAACATAGAAATCTGAACCCTTTTCATAGCTTCTAAGAAACCTCAGAGGTCTCTGAAGAAGATAAACTGCTTTGTGGTAGTTTAAAAAACAAAACAAAGATAAACCCTCCTAACACCAGTTTGTTCCTAGTTCAGTGACTGGTGTTTTAAGTAACCTGCTAATAAACAACTTCCTGTTCCCTTGTCGCCCTGGGTCATACCCTGACATTCCCTGAGCCCCACTCCCTTCTTGAAAGGAAGCAGCTTGAAGGGATAGGGCTAGGGCACGGGTTTTCCTGCCAACTGCCCTCTACCTATTTTGTCACGTCTCTGGCCTGCCATGGACTTTATCACAAAATGGAAGCCAGTCCTGGGAACATAATCTCTGTAGGATGTAAGGATATTAGAGAAGTAGAAGCTGAGATCTCTGGACATACTCCTCCTTAAAAACTGCTGTCCCATCCTCCTGACCAGCAATTGGGCAGTGATAATAAAATACTAAATTCATGTTAAAATATCAATATATGCTGTCACTCTTCTCTCCTTGACTAGACAGTGATCTGGTTTGCTAGTTGGTACGAATATAGGATAATTTCACTCACACGAATTGAGATAGAGGATTCATGTGAATGGCTAAAAAGTTTGACTTAAAAAGTCAAACTGGGACCCCAGACAAAGATTTACTTGAAGAGAATTGGATTACTCAGGGTTCTCCAGAGAAACAAAAGCAATGAAGATATTTGTTATGAGGAATTGACTCACAGGGTGATTATGGAAGCTGATAAATCCCACAGTCTGTCTTCTACTGGTGGAGACCCAGGAAAGTTGTTGGTATAATTTAGTCTGACTCCAAAGACCTGGGAACCAGGGGAGCTGAGCTGATGGTGTAAATTCCAGTTCAAAATCAGGAGAACAGCAGTATCCCAACTCAGGCAGGCAGGAAACATAAAGGGCAAATTCCTTCTTTCTCCTCCCTTTTATTTTCAGGCCCCCAGCAGACGGAATGGTGCCCACTCACACTGGGAAGGGCAACCCACTTTAATGAGTCCACTGATTCAAATGCTAATCTCATCCAGAAACACCCTCACAGGCTCACCCAGAAATAATGTTTAATCTGGGCACCTTGTGGCCCAATCAAGTTGGCTCCAAAAATTAACCATCACAGAAATATTTCTTGATTAAATGGAATAAATGGGTAATACAGTATTTGTATTTATTTCCCATACACTTAAAAGGAAGGCTTAATACTTGAAATATTCTTAATCCTGTTAAACATACCTCATGCTTATTTTTTGATTATTTTTTATTCTTGTATTACAAAGCTACATTTCAATTCAGGCAAATTCAATTATATGATTCAGATCATAGTGTTTTATCTCCTTTTCATTTGACAGTAGACAGAATTTGCAAACTGTAAGAGCTAGGAAAACTTCCTACTTACATAGTAAGCTTTATGATTCCAGTTTTCCAAAAGGGTGCTTATGCTGTGGTTATGACAGATATAGCCAGATGGCTATCTTCATCAGTAATGTAACCCCACTCATTTATACATTCTCATTTGTTTAAAACATAAAATATGGTTTGCCTAATCATGTCATTCTGCCAAATTATACTATGCCAAAAGAGTATTACTGTTATTTTCTGCTTTAACTTTAACTTGTTCTCATTTGAGCTTTCTAGCACTTGAGATGTGAAAATGATTAAAAACAGGGGCAACAAATTTAAAATGCTAAATACCACATCCAGTTCAAGTTGGGAAAATGATTAAGTTAAAAATACTTGCATATTGGTTTGCTCGAGGTTATACTAAGAGAAACATTTACCTTTGATTTGATTTTTTTTTTTACGAAAGGATGTAATATCAAAAATTATTTTTTCAATCTTATAAATTAAGAATTTACTTATTTGCAATACTTTCAGCCTTTTTTTGTGGGTTATACCTAAGATTTCTTTTAGAAAAATACATCATACTTTTCTCGTACATGGTACTTCACGGTCCTGTGTGTAATTCATTTTCAGTGGATTAGAAATAAAAGCAGCTTGATTTTTCCCACGGTTAGCATAAGCTCTAAGATATGAATAGAATATAATACACAGAGGCGGGGGGAAGGCATGAAGTACCGTGTGTGCCACTCTCTCTACCAGGTGACTTACCCATGGTGCGGAGTTTCATTTTCCCAGCACTCCTGTTATGTACTCTGGCATCTTATCACCACTTGATAAAGAAATTGGACCCTGGAGCGCCTGAGTTTCTTGCTCTGGGTCACAGCTGATCTGACTCACATTCCGATGTGCCTGCTTGCAGAGCCCCCACTTTTCCTTGCTTCTTTTGCTGCTGCTGCAAGAAGGAATACCACTACCTCATTTGCTACACAGAACGTAGGGGCAGCTGTATAAAGGTTCCAGGCATAAGCCCTTCCTCCTTCCTTCTGCTTTGAAGCAACATCTGGATAGATACCTCAAATTTTTCTACTTTTTAAAAGATAGTTATTAATCAAGGTTGAAGTAGAGGGGGAAAAAAAATCAGAATGAATGTTTCTCGTTAAAGTGAAAGATATCAATTATGTGCCACAAAAAGCCTTTTGGTTTTAGTTAATATCTTGAAGCCTTTGGATTAAGATTCCAGACATTTTCTTCAAGCATGTATAAAACACTTTTAACCTAGAGTTTAGTTTCAAAATGATGTAGCCATAAATTCTTGTTGAAATCCACTTTGGGATATGATATCCCAAATAAAATACTTAAGGAATTAGATGAGAATACTTGCATTCTTGATGATTTTTGAATAATCTTTTGAATAAAACGCTTACGTTGAGTTGACCTGAAAACCCAGTGAAAATGCCCCTTCCATTCTAGGTTGAACATACTTTCTTCTTTAATTCAAAATCTCTTTTTCTTTTTCTTTTTTAAGCTCATAAATAATCCGAATTCTCACTAGTCATGAATCTTTCGGAAAACTGCTTGTGCGAGCATTATAAATCACTTGGCTTATGAGTTAGGACATTTTTGTTTTATAGTTACTCTTCAATTTTATGGGTATTTATGTTTCCACATAATATAGTAATATATATTGCAACTCAACATTGCTTAGCGGTATTAGTTGAATTTAAAATAGAAATTACTTTCTTTTTGACAACTAGTGTAATGAATTCATTGACTATTGCCAAATTTGTAAAGGCAGAAAAGTCCTTTTTTAATTTAAAAATGCATTTATTGATACTTAGATTTATTTTTGTAGTGTTTCAAATACTGTCGCATAACAGATGTCTTTGTAATTAAACTATCTAAATACAGTATAGAGCTTACCTTTACTCTGAGGTGTAGTTATTCTGCAACAGGCTAATTTTCAGGTTTCTCTGGTTTCTGCAGGAATCTTCACATGTGATACTGATATTGCCATCATTTATTTTCAAGATTGCAAAAAATTAATCTAGCAAAGCATGAGCATTTGGGAAATCACTACATTTCTGTAGTGAGCACCGTTTTTGCTCTGTGCATGCTTATTTTGTAAAGGACTCTAAATATAAATACTATAATCACAAAATGGACTTAAAGATTTTCCTTCACCGTATACTTGAAAGTGTTGAAACACATCCTTACTGTGCTGCCAACTGTCCCATGGTGTTCTCTTAAACGGCATTAACATCTCGTGTGTGCTTCTTTACTAAATTCTTTGTTCTGGGAAATAACAGAAAATATGGCATTCTTTTAAATGATTGGATATTCTGTTTTTCTTCTCAAACTTGCTTTTCTTCTGCTTTTTAGTTCCTACAACCGCTGCCAGCACCCCTGACGCCGTTGACAAGTATCTCGAGACACCTGGAGATGAGAATGAACACGCCCATTTCCAGAAAGCGAAAGAGAGGCTTGAGGCTAAGCACCGAGAAAGAATGTCCCAGGTAAATCTAGCTATTCCACCTTTGTGCCCTACAATAGTGGGAAATCTGAGATTGCCTCTGCCTCAGTCTCCACAGAGGCCTGGTGACTTTATTCAGATTTTTAAAGATGCAAAGTTCTAGTTTTAAATGTTTGCTGTGAGGGCAGGTATTGTGGGTTATTCGCATCCTCCGTGAACATGCTGCCTAGAAAAGATCCAGGTGTAGTAGGTACAGCAGGATTTTGTAAGCAAAAATTAAATTATGTCAACAACATTCTCTCTGGTGAAGAAAAGCACTTGCTTGGTTTTATTACCATGTGTATATGTAGTACCTATAACTACCATGTTGTAAATTAAAATCTATTAAAATGTTCTTTTATTTAGTAAAAGTGAATGCTTTTGTATTAAATACCAGATTATTATAACTTTAAACTTACCATTTCTTGCAAAGTTAATTCACAGGACCATAGAAACTTAAAATCAAATTGAACCATAATGATCATTTCACCTGGTCTCCTAAGCGATACGTAAGGGAATAGAGGTTTGAGAGAATGGCTTCCCATTTTAGCACAGAGCAATATAAGTGGCCCAGGGAAACATAAGTGAATGAATAAAGACTTTGGTTTAAAGTCAACTATTCAGTTTTTTGGTGTTAGTATTCTGTGGTAACTATCGGAAGATTTGACTAATTTTTGTCATACTTAAATACTTAAAAGGTCTCTTGATAGACCTTAAACACAATTCATGAATTATGCTGTCATATATTTTCTAAGAGCATAAGACATTGTTAATAGACGATTAATCTTGATTTTGTTTTCTGTATTTTCTGATCTGGGGCCTTACCTCCCCTAGGGAAGTTCCCTGTCCCAAGGCTAACCAGTTTCTGAAGATATCAAATGAGTGGCCTATGAGCATGTTTTCTCATGCAGGCCAAGCAATCCAAAGCCGTAACCCCCAACTGCCTTCTTTCTCTGGTTCTTATACTCTGGGCCATTGTCCATCTGCTTTAATCACCCCAGGGCCATGTCCTAAATAACTAGGCATCGCCCTCATTCCCCAGAGTCTCTGGAATGTATGCAAGCTAATCAATCCTAAACCTGTTTACCCTGCCTCCCCCATTTCTTTCCATGAAGACCACAAGAAAACCTTTTGTCCATGTTTTCCCCTCGTTCCCTGTATCTCCTGACTGATGCTGGTCCCTCCCACGTGGCCCTGCATTTTGTGACATGAACCCTCTTGGGAGTGTGAGTAACAAACTATCTTTTCAGTGCCAGTTGTTCCTGATCTGTTGTCCTCACTGTGCCTGAATAATAATAAAACATACGACTAAAAACGTATATAGAAAGGCATAACACAGTTACCTTTTTTTTTCTCTTAAGATAATTAATCACAATACATGGATCTACTTTGGTACTTGGGATCTACTTTGGTATAATAACACAGACGGGAAAAAACTCTTATTTATAATCACAGTACTTTTGGCTCTGGAATATTTGTGCAGTTCTAATGGTCGCCCGTGTTCATATGAAAACCTAAAAATGAGTCGAACTAGAGAGTTAGCTACAGTGGAATGGAATAGTGAGGTTTCACGTGAAGCCAATTCTTTGGGAAAAAAAAACAGTAGGATTTTTCATTAGGAAAGACACAAACAGATACATAAATATTGTAAAGAAAGCATAGGAGGACTATGAGTCATAGTTATTATCACTGACACGTTCTCTTTTAAACTGAAATCCTATCTTATTTATTTTTTCTGAAGCTTTCAGAGGCTTCCTGCTAACCTCAGAAATCCAATTCTGGGGATATGAAGTCTAAAAAAAAAAAAAGGAGAACAATAATAGAAGTAAATACTGAATGCTCAGCTTGTCATTTCCAGCACCAACCATTGCACCCTGACCCTAGTCTTCCTACCACCTCTTCCATTTCAGCTGCTACTCTGGTCTCCTCTGCAGTGTTAAACTGCTGTCTAGTTAGGCCCCCCTGCTGTCTGGTTAGGCCGCACCTGCTCACCTCATTCATCGTGGGCTTCCCTGTGCTGTCAGCAGTGGACTTCTGGAAATGCCCTCATGCTCTTCTCTACATTGACAAATCTCACTCATTCCTTATGCCCCAGGTGATACTCAGAATGGGGACGGGTAGTCATTGCTCTTACCTTTCATTTAATTCTAAATATTTACTCTTCCATTTTTTTAGTGAGTTTTGGATATATCTGTCTTACCTCTCCAGCTGGATTATAAACTCCTTTTAGTACCCAGAAGTTCATATAAGCCTCACTAACCTTGCATTGTGTTCTTGAACCCACTTAGTCATTATTTTTAAAAAAACATTTTTTTTAAATCTTACATCCCCCCCCACCCCAGTATATCTTGGTCATTTTGATCCTGTTAAGAAAACTGATTTCAAATACTCTGTTAGCTTCAAATATGATAGTCTCTGCTAAAATAATAATTCAGCTTTCTTTTAGCACTTCTATTTAACCTATGACATAGTTGATATAAATTTTGATAGATATTCTTCATTTTTTGTCATAGGATATATCTGAGATAAAGTATGAGATGTTGTTCTGGAGCAGAGAATTCTGTCTAGTAGATCCTAGTGGTCATAGGAAAGTGAGACACCTGAGACATTTATCCTCATAATCTATGATGCTGAATTCTAGGGACTTTCTGACTTTGAACTTGCCTGCCTCTTAAATCTACTTAGTAGTAATCATTTTCTCCGCATGAAACAGCCAAGTGTTTGAAGATCCATAAATCCGGATGAAATTGATACCTTTGTGCATGCAATGTAAAAGTGCTTTATAAGAATTTGTAGAACAATCACAAGGTTCAGATCTTGAGAATTTTAAATGTAAAACATTGTGGATTTTTCATTGATTTTTATTATATTTTTTGTTAAATGTTTTCTTACAAACACAGAGGATTTTGGACTTTTGGGTATTTTGCTTTGTTGTTGGGAACAAAAACTCTAAATCTGTAGACTTTTGTTGCTGTATGTTATGACCAGCATCTAGCAAGTATAAATAAGTAGCTGGACACAGTGTAAGTGCTTTTATTACTTAGGAACTTAGTAGTTTTAGTATGTCCTTAAAATGAAATCCTTCAAAATGAAAGTTGACCAGAGTCAAAGGTTTTTCTTGTTTTAAAGACAAATAGCCACATGCCAGAAGGAGCCCTTGCTCTTGTCATTAAATATAAATAAACTTAGCTCACCTGGTGGATTTTCCATTTTTTTATTTTTTTTATTTTTTGGGATTTTTTTTTATTTCAGCATATTATAGGGGTACAAATGTTTAGGTTATGTATATTGCCCTTGCCCCTCCCCCCCAAGTCAGAGCTTCAAGCGTGTCCATGCCCCAGACGGTGCACATCGCACTCAATTATATGTGTATATACCCATCCCCTCCTCCCCCCTCCCATCTGCTTGATGCCCGATGAATGTTATTCCTATAGGTGCACTTAGGTGTTGCTCAGGTAATACCAATTTGATGATGAGTACATAAGTGGTGCTTATTTTTTGGGCCACAGAATACAATGGCATAGTCTTGAGAGCCACAGAGATCTTGGTTTATATGCCTCCTTCTTTATTTGTTGCCTGCATACCTTTGAGCAGATGCCTTAACCTGGCCCATAAGATGGAGATGGCCATGCCTAATCTCACAAGCTGTTGTTAGGAATCAGTTAAATGAGATAGATTTGTAAAACACATAGACAGGGTCAGCAGTAATGTTATCCATTATCACCAGGGGGGATGTTCAGCCTACAGTGTGTATTCATTTGCAGTAAGTAGTCTAGAGGGAACAGTATAGGTTATTTGTTTAATTGTGGGGATGTAGGATATTGTTAAATTGCTCTAAAAAGCAGAATTTGAGTTCATTTCTATAGTAATGCTTCTTTTCAACTCATTTGCTAAATATATCTCTTAATTAGTTCACGAATCTTCCAGCTCAAAGCTGAAAATTCAGGTTTTGAATGTATACAAGGTGCGATGGTAAAAATGTAAATGTAATGGGGAAATTCAGTTTTTCACATTCCAATAAAACATCAGCCTCTATCTCAAACTAATTTTGAGATCCCTTGCCTGAAGAATTCTTGGTAGAGTACCGCCACTGTAAACATTCTCGAAGCAGGAAATTGAAATATTTTTATTGCAAGGCTTATCTCGTCTATAAAGCAAAGATAGTCCTCAATATCCCCCTCGCCCACAGGTGCCCTTTATTAACTTCATAGAGACACCAAAACAACTGGGACAGTATGTTTCTTTTCTCGTGTGTTCTGTTATTGTTCATCACAGCAGGGTGTTTGTCCAAATTTTGCTGCGAATCTTGAGTTTATTTTTGATATGTTCCTCAAGTGTAATGGAATATGTATTTCATCCTCTTTTCTCCATAATTTCACTAAAACAAAGGGAAGCTAGTCTTATATCTTGTACAAAGAATTAATGCTAATTGACAATATAATAGCTAATTAGAAACCCACATGGTGATGTTTTATTCAATTTTTAATTATCATTTTTTTAGACAGGGTTTCACTCTGTTCGTCAGGCTGAAAGGATTGAACTTCTGGGCTCTAGCTATCCTCCCACTTCAGCCCCCTAAGTAGCTATAGGTGCAAGCCACCATGCTAAGCTAATTTTTAATTTTTTTTTTATAGAGATAGGGTCTCACTATGTTGCCCAGGCTGGTCTTGAACTCCTGGCATCAAGCAATCCTCTCTGCTCAGCCCTTACATGATGATTTGATGTCTCATGGAAGTTTTCTATCAGTAGTTATTTATTCCAAGCCTTTTTTCCTTGCCATCTTGAAAGATGTCAGAAAAATTAATTCCTTAGGGATAAATGCTTATAAATAACAGGCTCTTAAAATGCAGTAATCAAGTTTTGTCACGCCTCAGAAGTACACAATGTATGCAAATACACATCTGGAGCTAGTGGGTATTTTGCTTCCTTAATCCTTCTTTCTTCATTTAACCTAGTTCAGGTTTGAGTTGCACTTAAACTCTAATTGACAGCAGGTTGTGTACTTGAAAAGGAAAAGGCAACCATAGGTGGTAAGAAGTTAATATCATTTCCATTCAACAACATACACAGGTGCAGACTTTTACTTTTTGCATTCAGATCAATGAGTGAACTTTTTCTCAGGGAAATCCAGTTGAAAATTAAGGTTGAGAGCAGGAAGCATCGTTTTCCAACAAAACAGATACACCTGGTGTCTTAGTTAGTTTTGTGTTGCTATAACAGACTACCACAGGCTGGGTAATTTATAAAGAAAAAAAGTTATTTGGCTTACAGTTCTTGAGTCTGGGAAGTCCAAGAGCATGGTGCCAACCTCTGGTGAAGGTCTTGGTGCATCCATGAAGGAAGTCAGAAGGGCAAGAAAGGGCCAAAATCTCTTTTATTATATAACAACCCACTCTTCACAATAATGAATCCATTTTCTCAATAACAATACTAATCCATCAGCTCTTAAAGTCCTTACCTCTCAACAGTGTTGATTGGGGATTAAGTTTCCAACCCATGCTTTTTAGGGAACACATTCAAACCATAGCACCTGGTTACTAAATGTTACTTGTCCAAAATACTTTTTTGCTACATTCAGAATATTATAATGTATGTTTTTCTCAGAAATTCTGGAAGGAATTAGAGTAATTCTTGCTGTTCATCATACCCCTGATTCCCATTGTTTCTTTCAGGAGCTAGATTTAGGATCTGTGACAACAGAAGCCTTCTATCTCTACCCCCATTATGTACTCTTTTTGGCATTGTATTCATGATATGTGCGTGTAAAATGTCTTTATTTGCCTTTTGCCCTATAGTAAAAATAAACAGTTTAAATGTTTTAACTTGCTTTCATAAGAGACTAAAATTTACTCTGTGTTCAGTTTAACAGTGGAAGACGTTGTTCAGTTAGCATATGTCTTTTATGAATAGTTGGTATTTGTTCACATAAAATAAAATGACTTTCACCCATTTCTTGGGAGGTGGGGGAAGGAAACCAGCCTTGCTTCTAAAGACAATGTTCCTGCAATAAATGTGAATATTTATGTTTAATAAGCTGCTATGATAAATTATTTATATCCTCCTAGGAGGTCAAATATTTAGATAGGAATGAGTATGTGATACATTTTGTAATGTTTAAAATGACAAAAAAAGAAGAAAAATATAATAACCCACCCTGTTAAATCTATATTTAAAGGAAAAGCCGAAGATTTTAAATTCAAACGTGTTTTTATTTTTATAGGTGATGAGAGAATGGGAAGAGGCAGAACGTCAAGCAAAGAACTTGCCTAAAGCTGATAAGAAGGCGGTTATCCAGGTAAAGCCTGAACCTGCTCCCTACAGGCAGGACATAGAGCAGCTGTTTATCAAGTGACTGCAGGTCTGCTGCCACCTCGTGCGTCATCGTTCATATTCCCATGAACGTGGACTATTCCTAATTACTGCCTAGTAATTGAGTCGTTTCAGCCCTGCCTTTTGTTTGCTCCCAGTTATTTCAAGTTGTGAGTCACCGCCATAAAGCTCATATTGCTACTTATGTCCACTTTTTATTAATAATATATCTCTTCACTTGCCATAAACTTCTGGTACTTCTCCTGGCAAAAAATTGACATGAGAATTTGAATTTTTTACTGAAACCAATCTCAAAATTACCTTAATTAAACAGAGATTATCATGGTCAATTACTTAAAGTACTTTCAGTAAGAGAGGAATTTTTAAAAGTATATATAATGTGAGCGTTTCAAGAGCACATACATTTCTTTGAGATTCTCATTAGTCAGATCAGTCTTCAGGGACCCTACAAAATACTGATTTCCAATGAGAAATTAGGTCTGTCAGGGGGTGGAGAGTGCAGGAAAGGGAAGTTAACTATAAAACGTGCAGACGTAGTCAAGATGTTGGGATGACTATGCAACCTTCAGAAGTTTTTATCGCTTAAAAAGAATGGAATAGGACGTCCCTTTCAAAAGATTAAGACTTGCTGTTCCATCCTACTTGTGCAGTCCTGATGGATGTGTGTGTTTCTGATGGCAGCATTTCCAGGAGAAAGTGGAGTCTCTGGAACAGGAAGCGGCCAACGAGAGACAGCAGCTGGTGGAGACACACATGGCCAGAGTGGAAGCCATGCTCAACGACCGCCGCCGCCTGGCCCTGGAGAACTACATCACCGCCCTGCAGGCCGTTCCTCCCCGGGTAGGTCTCACCTCCCTTAGGTCGCACGCAGCACAGGCAGTAGGGCTGGGGCCCTGGGGAGAGGAAGCCATACAGAAGAAATTAGGAGAAATGCCAGGAGTCCCGTTATTCCCAGGTTCGACCTCTTGTCCATTCCATCTTGAAGGTCAAGGGGTCACAGGGCCGTCTCAGCACGATAGACACTTGCCCTTCTCCACACACCAGTCAAGTCAGGCTTCGCCAGGACTCACACTGCAAGACCTGACTTCATATTCCTGAGGGAGTAGCACTGATGCTATAATTGAAATGCAAAACCAAAAGCTGGGAGGATGTCTTAGTCCCTCCAGGCTACTATCACAGAATACCATGGAGGGGCTGGCTTGTGAGCAAAAGAAATTTATTTCCCATGTTCGGCAGGCTGAGAAGTCTGAGATCAAGGCACTGGCCGATTTGGTGTCTGGTGAGGGCCTCTTTCCTGGTTCACAGACCCTTTTTACAGAGTCTTTTGCTGTGTTCTCCTGCGGTAGAAAGAGCTAAGTAGCTCTTTGGGGCTTCCTCATAAGTATGATAATCCCATTTGTGAGCGTTCTGTCCTCTTGATGTGATCACTTCCCAAAGGCTCCATCTCTAATACCACCACGTGGTAGGTTAGGTTTCAACATAGGAATTGGCAGAGAGGGGACACAAACATTCAGTCCACAGCAAAGAACCTTAGAAATAACCTAGCCCAGTCTCCTCATCCTGTTAAGTTATGTAAATGAGGTCAAGGAAAGTTGAGCCTTGGCTGAGTTTGAGTTGTAAGAACTTTTAGTGGACTGGTAGAAACCAGAATGCAAAGGCTGGGGGTGGGGTGGTCTGGTCCATCATGACGTCAGCAGTGACAAGGTTTATTGGTGGTTTTCAGCGATCGTTGCCCACAAAGGCTTACCAAGTGGTGCAGGCATAGGTTTCTTCACCGACACTCAGTGGGAGAGTTTACTTTGAACTCTATTTGATATTATACCAGTTCAAATAATATTTTAGTACTTCATAGGTAGTATAAGAACATTCCAATAAAGTACTTCCATTTTTCCTCTCTTACCCTTTAAGCTGTTGTCATACTTTTTCTATACCACATTGCTGTTGTTTTTCTTTAAATAGTAATCTTTTGAAGAGTTTTTAAATAAGAAAAATAACACATGTATTTACTTATATGACCAGAAATGGTCACCATTTCTGGTACTATGTCTGGTACTATTACTTATGTAGTCACCATTTCTGATAAGGAATGTTCTGAGCATATGTGTAATTTATGTCTGCTTGTTTTATCCATCATTGAGCAAGGGATATGGAAGGCTCTGACTATAATTGTGAATGCTATCAGTTTTGTTTTGTGTCTTTTGAGGCTTTGTTTTTAAGTGTGTAAATGTTCGAGTTTGTTATGCCCTGTTTGAGGCCCTTCTCGTGAAATGACCTTTTCGTCCCTAGTAATATGTTTTGCTCTGAAGTCTACTTTGTCTAATATTAATAAATCTACTCTAGCTTTCTTTTGATTAATGTAAGCATAGTGTATTTTTCCATCCTTGTACTTTTATTAAAACTGTCTTTATATGTGAAGTACATTTCTTTTAGAGACATATAGTTGGGTTTTGTCTTTTAATTGGAAGACCATGCACATTTAGTGAGGTTATTGATGTGGTTATATTTCAACCTATCATCTTGCTATTTGTTTTCTGTTTGTCCAGTCTGTTCTTGGTTTCTTTTTTCCTTTTTTGAGGGCAGGGGAATTAAATGGATTTTATTTTTTATGATTCTCTTTTGTCTCCTTTGTTGGCTTGTAAATTCTATTTGTTATTTTAGTGGTTGCATTTAGGTTTATAGAAAACATTTTTAACTTATCACAATGATATTATACCAGTTCAAATAATATTTTACTACTTCATAGGTAGTATAAAACATTTTAATAAAGTACTTCCATTTTTCCTCTCTTACCCTGTAAGCTGTTTTCATACGTTTTCTATACCACACAGTTGTTATTTTTCTTTAAATAGTAATCTTTTGAAAAGTTTTAAATAAGAAAAATAACACATGTATTTACTTATGTAGTCACCATTTCTGGTACTATTAATTCTTTATGCAGATCTAACTGGTATTTTTATTCTGCCTGAAAGACGTGCTTTGAAATATCTTTGATTATATGTAGTTTAGTGGCGAATTCTTTTGCTTGGGTAGGTCTGAAAATGTCTTTATTTTTCCTTTGGTTTTGAGAATTTTGTTGTTGTTATTGTTATTATTTTCTTTTTTCTTTTCTTTTTTTTTTTTTTTTTTGCTGGACATAGAATTCTAGATTTGAGGATTTTTCTTCCACTACTTTAAAGATGATGCTCTATGTCTGCATATTTGCATTGTATACAACACGAAATCTGCTATCTTTATCTTTATGTCTCTGAAAATAATGTCTTATTTTAAATCTGACTGGTTTTGCAGTTTTGCCTTTATCACTAGTTTTGAATGATTTAAAACCACAGTGTAGTTCAGTCTGCCCTTAGTTCTGTCAGGCCGTGTTTCATCTCATCATCCCACATAATATCTTTTTCTAGAATATCTAGAAATTCACTCTTGGCTCTTTTTTTTTTTTTTTTTATTACCTCCCTTATATCTTCCATATTAATATTTGAACCTATGGAATGTAGTTTTAAAAGTTGTTTAAATATCAATTTTGCTGATTGTAACTTGTTAGTCAACTTTGAGCCAATTTTGACTGCTTTATTGCATCATTTCTTGCCTCATAATTTTGCATTAGATATTAGGTACTGAATTTTACTTTGTCGAGTGCTCGGTGTTTTTGTAATATTCTTGAGCTTTGTTCTGGAGTGTAGTTAAGTGAGTTGGAAATAGTTTGATCATTTTGGATTTTGCTTTTTTAAGATTTGTCAGGTGCTATTGTGTATTTTCTCTAACTAAACCAAAATGCCATTTGCACTGGTTTTCTTCACCATTTTAATTTTTATTTCTGTGTGTAAAGTTGTAGTGCACTGAAAAGCCACGAGGAGCCCTGGAAGAGCTCCTGGCGTTGTTCCAGGTAGTAAGATAGTGTTGACCCTGTTCTATCCATGACCTCACTACAGCCTCCGGAGATGGAATGGCTGGTTCAGGGTGACACCACTGGTAAGGAGCAGGGTAGAGCCGTGAATCACCACCACCCACTGCAGTGCCTTCTCGCTAAACCAGACTTCCCCTCTGAACAAAGAGCTTTTGAAAAGGAATATTCACATTAGCGTTTTCATTTTCTATTGGCAAAAAAAAAATCTCTGTCCTAAACAAGGCACGACTCGGTAAAATTCTGTTTATGTCTCTGTGCAGATCAAAAGTTCCTTGATTCCTCTCTTTTTTGGAGGAACACAGTTTCAGGGGAGGAGCTGTAGGGATCATTCGCCAGAGTAGGGCAGGAGCGTGGGTGCTGAGACCAGAGCCTTAAAAGCAGACGCGATGTGACGTGTTCCAGCTGGAAGTCCAGGTCTCTGAAGTCAGATCTTTGCTAAATGGTCATTGATAGGGCTAAAAATAAGGACTGAGTGGCGTCTTTAACAAACGCACATTTAAACTCTTTCAGTTTAGTCTCATCCTCCATCACAGGAAAGGCGCTGGCAGGAAGAATGTTTGCCAGAGGTTCAGGTTTTATCACAGGGGACAGTTGTACTATTTTTGTTTGTTTATGTTTTCTTTTGCGGGGAAAACAGCATTCTTTTGAGGGGATAATTTCAGATTGGCCCTAATGGTTCTTGTGAGTCTGTTGATCGCTTCATATGGAATTAGCGTGTTTATTTGAAATAAAAAACTGTATTAGGAAAAATTATTTTACTGTTTAAGAAAAATCAGATTCCTGTTGATTGATCCAAGGATTCCTGCATAAATCTCTTCTTCATAATAAAAAAGTGGGGCTGGGTAGTCACAGGCGTGAAATCTTGGGGCATTACCTGCCATTTTTGTTAAGTTACCATCTTTGAGTGTTCATTTAAATTTTAATTTGATGCTACTAGTAGTTACTTCTGCACCTTGGAAAGCTCAAGAAAATTTTAGATCCCTTCTTGAAGACTTTTATACATTGCTCTTGAAAGTCATAAATCAAGACCTTGGCAGTGACTGTCTGAGGAAGGCCACATCTTTGGAGCCATACATAAATATTGCTGAGATCTCCCTGATCCTCAACACAGTGGCTGAAAAATACAAAATACTGTATTGAGTAAATGTTATTTCAATTTAAGTAAATAAATCAGTGAAAGTGTTTTCCCATAGATTCTATAGATGTTATCCCTTTTAGAATTATTATCTGTTTAACTCTTACCAAACTCTATCATGTATTCCCAGACTTGCAAACGTGGGGTTTTTTAACAACCTGGATTATTTTCAGTCTCTTTGAAGCTCAGGTTTAACTGATACTTTTATTCATATTTTAAAATCTAAACTTGGAACTATTATGAAATCATGTTCTTATGCAGCTAGAATTCCTGTCCTACTATGAATTTCATTTTGTAAGTTCCTATAACTATGTGTACTTTATGTTCCAAATTTCCTGTTAATTAATTATGTACCTATACATTGATACATTGAATGAGCAATCTAAAAATGCACTATTTGCTTCATATTTAGATTCATATATATTATATTTAAAATAAACACTTCAAATATTACAATAATTAAAAGTTTCTTTTTTCTTTTCTTTTTTTTTTTTTCTGAGATAGCGTCTTGCTCTATTGCCAGACTAGAGTTCAGAAGCTTCATCATAGCTCACTGCCTCAAAGTCCTGAGCTCAAACGATGCCTCAGCTTCCAGAGTAGCTAGGACTATAGGTGTACACCACCAAGCTCAGCTAATTTTTCTATTTTTTATAGAGACAGGGTCTCCATATGTTGCCTATGTTGCCCAACCTAGTCTTGAACTCCTGGCCTCAAGTGACAATCGTCCTGCCTTAACCTCCCAAAGTACTAGAATTACAGGTATGAGCCACTGCACCTGGCCTGAAACAGTTCCATTTTTTCCAG